TCTTTCTGTTTAAGAATCCTAAGACTATAATTACCTTTTAAACAACAGCTAATTTCTGTCAGCTTTTGATCCATTATTATTTCAAGAACTTTTCCTGTTAAAAAATATCCACAGAAAGTTATCCCCAACCCTGATACTTCTTCCACTGTTTCTTCCCTGTATTTGCTATTTCTTTCCTGTATTTGTATCAGGCTGCCCAGAGAGGTTGTGGATGCCCCATCCCTAGAGGTGTTCAAGGCCAGATTGGATGGGGCCCTGGGCAGCCTGGTCTAGCATTAGGTGGGAAAGTTGGTGGCCCTACATGTGGCAGGGGGGTTGGAGATTCATGATCCTTGAGGTCCCTTCCAACCCTGGCCATTCTGTGACTGCTCCTACAGAACACCAGGTTTTCCACTTGCAAATCCTGAAAATCTAAAAGGCTACAGAAAATGCTGTCTTTGAAACAACACTAAACATTTGTTCTAAACTACCAACTTTATACTGCTATGTTCTCTTGGAGCTCAGTCTTTTTTTAAGCTCCTATATTCTATCAGCAAATCATCTTCACAAAATTTTCAGAACAGACAGGAAGCAGGCATCCACAGCTCTGTGAAAATGTAGGCTTTTATAGCCCTGGCTCCAAAGGAAATGTTTTAAATTTGTAATTCACAGTTTTTTTCTCGTGTATAAGCACTACAAAAAGTATAAAAATTCCAGATTAGCATATGCCTATGCTGATCACTTTGTTACACAGACATAAACCAAAATAGTAGTTATCTGGGTACTAGCAAAAAATATGATTTTGACAAAATCTTAGTATTCACCCAGTATTTGAGTTAGAAATTTCAGATGACTTCCACAATGACAGGATTGCATAACTTGTACTGCACCTAAACCAGTTTAATTGCAATGCAGGTATTACCATAATTCAGAAAAACAATTAAGTGACTGTAAGTGAGCACAGCCTGAGACAAGACTCCACAAGCACAAGTGCACACTAAGCAAGTATAATTTAAGAACATACTGAGGTGCTAAAAATGTATTACAGAAACAAAATAAATCCTTTTGTTTATAAACCTCAGAAATACCCATAGCAAAGAACATGTGAACACAAATAAGCATCCAAAAGGTAAGAATGAGACATAATGGAAGTAAATTCCTCTAGAATGATAAAAGAATTGTTTTCAATACATAAATAAAACTAAGGACTAACACTGAAATTTTAAGTATTACTCTAAATCTCCAGATTTCTGCACTTAAAATAGCCCTACAGTGCTGAGCTTTATGTGCGTATAGAAATACCAGGTCCAATTTTAAGCTGCATAAGCACACTTCTTGTCCTGATTTTGTATCATAAAGGAATCAAAATACCATCTTAAGACATGATTTCTGAAGTTATTAAGATTTCTGTAACAGCTTTGCTCCCTAGATCAAACAGTGGGTATTATATTTGTTCCCTTTATTAACATTCTGTACCTCCTTTTCCTTGAAAATTCACCGCAGTCTGGTGAATTTTTCACTGACTGGAAAAGGGGAAATAGAACTTCAATTTTTTAAAAGAGGAAAAAAAAGTCCTGAGGAACTACAGGCCACCCAGTCTCACCTGTGTGTCTGGAAAGATTATGCAGAAGATCAACCTGGAAACTGTGCTAATTCACTTTAAAAACAGTGAGTCTTTGACATGTCAAATCACGTCTGACAAACTTGGTGGCCTACTACATCGAGGTTACAGGGTTGGTGAATAAAGAGCTGCAACTGACGACATCTACAAGGACTTGTACAAAGCCTTCAAGTACTTAAAAGATGGTCTACAGGAAAGATGGCAAAGGACATCTTAGAAGTGTAGTGATAGGGGCAACAGTTCTAAGAGAGATTTAGATTAGATATTAAGAAAAATAATCTTTACTCAAGGAAAAGGGTGGTGAGGCACTTGGCACAAGGTGACCAGAGAAGCTGTGGATGCCCCAACCCTGGAGGCATTCAAGGCCAGGTTGGGTGGGATCCTAGGCAGCCTGATCTATAGGGTAACCACAACAGAGGGCTGAAACTAGATTATCTTTAAGGCCTCCTCCAACCCAAATCATTCTATGATTCTAAGACTTTTCCTTACCCTATAAGGTAACACCATCACGGCCATGGGTTAAGTCTACAGGGCAAGAGAACAATGTACATAACTGCAGCAAACCGGAGACATTTTTTGAGACCCTCGTCTGTCAGTACAACAGCCAAGTGAAAACTGGATTTCAGCCTGTCCACTTTCTTTTAATACAATCAGTTTCATTTAACTTCACTGTACTTGAGTCTTAGCTTATTTATGTTACACTTAAAATACAAAAGATTACAGAGCTAAGAAAGAGAAAACTGTTGGAACTTCAAAGCAGCTCTCTGAATTGCAAATTACCTACAGCGCAATGTATCATTTGAAACCTCAAGTGAGATACAGCAGTTCCGGCTGAAAGACTTTTCTGATCTCCAAATCATTCTTCAGAAAACTTTGCAAATGGAAAACAATTGAATCAGTACCAGAGCAGATTTAGTTTTACAAGAATTATAGAATCCTTAGAGTTAGAAGGGACCTTTAGAGATCATCTAGTCTAACACCCCTGCAATAAATAGGGACATCACAGCTAGATCAGGTTGCTCAGAGTCCCCCTGAATTTGAATGTCCCCAGGAACGAAGCATGTAACATTTCCCTGAGCAATCTATTCCAGAGCCTCACCACCATCACTCTAAAAGACTTTTTCCTTATATCCAACCTCAATCTACCCTCTTTAAGCTTGAAGCGATTTCTTCTTGTACTATCACCACAGATTCTGCTGAAGTGTCTGTCCCCTTCCTTCCTCTAGCTCCCCTTAAAATACTGAAAAAGGCCACTATCACGTCTCCCCAGAGCATTCTCTTCTCCAGGCTGAACAGCCCCAGCTCTCCCAGCCTCGACCAAGGTGCAAGACCTTGCACTTGTATTTGTTGAACCTCACATATTTCTCCTAGGCCTATTCCTCAAGCCTGTTTTGGTCCCTCTGGATGGCATCCCGTCCCTCTGGTGTGTCAACCGCACCCCACAGCTTGGTATTATTAGCAAACTTGCTGAGGATGCACTCAACCACACTGTCAATGTCACTGACAAAGATACTAAAGAGTATTGGTCCCAGCACTGACCCCCCAGGGGATACCACTCATCACTGGTCTCCATCCAGACATGGAGCCATTGACCACCTCTCTCTGGACACAATCCTGCAGTCAGTTCTTCATCCATTGAACAGTTCACCCATCAAATCCATATTTGGATGAACAAATATTCCATTATTTCTTATGACATAACATGCTACCAGAAAAAAGCAGCTCAGAAGATTTCAACTGATTTTTTAGTTCATATAATTTACTTTAACTACTGGTTACAACTTTATCATATTTAAATGCAGCAAGTCCACTTTGACTTCAAACAATCTCTGTCTATTCACTTAACTCTGATCACAGTTAAAGACGACTCTGAATTTGTTATGTAGTAAAAATTTTAAAGGAAAAAAAGAAAAAAAAAACAACAAAAACAAACACAAAACTGCATTAGGGCAGCGTGATTCAATATGCTCCAGAGATTACATCACAAATGCAGTATAGTTTTCCCCTGTAGTAGTAAATTGTCAGAAAATGCCATAGTGAACAAAGCCATTTATTACCTCTTTTGTACACAGGGATACTTGCTAAATCCATTATTTTGGTGAAAGGCTGCCACATTCATAAGCAATCCAAGAATAGCTTGAGTTCCAGCAACAAATACTACTCATGTGTTTCAATACAAGGTGAAATAAGGTAATCCTTAGGAAGTTCTCAAAGCATCCCTCCATTGTGAACATAAATAATCTCTAATTCTTTGGGAAGATGAAAAATCACTAATTCTTTTTTAGTTCCTTCCTATACTGTCAAATGGTATTACTAGAAAAGTTAAAGAGTGCACACATTCCTTATTAGCCTCTAAATCAGTGATTATGGTGCAATAATACGCTAATAATACAATAATCAATGGATTATTGTTTCTGATTTTTCTTCTCCTAGGATTGGAGGAAAGAAGAGTATGTTAAAAATCCACAGTAGAGAGCACATCCCTCACTCGAGTAGAGTTGGTTCCTCAGTTCTACAAAGTCTACAGCCCTTGAATCCAATACAGCATATCTTGGTGCAAAAAAAAAAAAAAAAAAGGCTAATATACAGAAGTTGGGAGGAAGAATGGAGGCAGAAAACAGCAAGTGAAAGATTTTTTTCATACATTTTACCAGTGATGTCCTGAACACGATACCCATGGACAGCAGTATTTAGCATACTAATACAATACTAGCAATGCTTCCAGAATAGAGAGAGCAACTCATCTTTAGCAACATAGCAATACCCAAACTTCAAAAAGTGAAGGCCTTTGGATTCAGAGTTATGGTCATGAAATGGCCATTAAAGCTAAGTCCATCTGCTAATGCATTTTAGCAGTCGGTGGAAAGAAAACTTCCTAAACTTGTACAAAATTAACATATTACCCTGTTCATCAAATTGCCATACGTACACATTACAATACTGAGGACAAAATCCTTCAATGCGTGAACTCTATATCCCTTTCCATCAAAGGGAACAAAACTATACACTGCCACTATTTCTCACGTCTTCCCAACTCCTGACCAATTTCTATATTAACTTTCAAATTCAGAGAAGATTGAGTGGTGTGTAGGGAAATCACTTAAACACAATTCCACCAACAGCCCAGACAATTACTAATTTGCCAGTTAGGTTCCCATCATGCATTGGAGCAACTAAGGTTCAACCCTCACTGTGTTATTATTTTTAGCAACTCAGAGTTTTTTTAGAAACTCAAAAACTCAAAAGCCTACACAACTTGAACAAAATCTAATCCCAGAAGCGTATCTCAAGAACACCCACACATTTCCATTAGAACTAAAAATTAACAGGTAAATTACACACCTAAACCAAACACAAATGAAAACGAAGAAGTTTGGAAACAAACAGCAGAAAGCCTTACCCTGAAAAGCTGCTGCATTATGAGATATTAAAAATTTTAACATAGCACTAGATGCTTGAAGCAGTTGCTCTATATCTTGCTTTGCTGCAGTCTGATATCTTTCCTCCACCTTTTTGGTACAGGATTTTTAGAAGTACAAACATGGAGATCAACACTTAGCGAAAGAAACAAATGCAGTGATCACTATGAAATAGAAGTTCACAATACACAGAAAAAATTTCTGTTGTTGTTTTTTGGTTGGTTTGTTTTGTTTTTTTTTTTAACATCGGTATATACATTTAAAAGAAATCCCTAGAGTTTTAAAGACATTTAGTGTTAAACAAATTTAGATGGCAGTAGTAACTAAAATTCTGTGTGAAGAGTATCCTTATTACAGTTAATTAGTGTCATATAATAGCATTACCTTGACACTGTAATCTTATTCCAGCTGTGAAGATTGCTAACTAGTGTTGGTAAAATACAAAGGATATGCAATGTACATCACTGGGAATACTGACTTGCTAGCTCATATGATCCAGCCCATAGCTTATAGCCAGCATTCTCATGCTGTAAATCTTGGGCTAAAAAGAGCTAACTGCTACTAAATTTATCACAACAGTGGAAAGCCCGTTCCTGATAGGTACATAATAAACATATTCATACTGACTTTCATATGGAGCAGTCATAAATCCTAGTCTAACCTATTTTACTGTTTCTTTCTCTAATGACCAGCTTTCCCCATGAATTTGTCATGACAGTTTACCACTTCACTAACAGGATGGGAAAAGCTCAAAGAAATGAACATCTTTTCAAATGTTTGGCACACTGAAATTCAAGAGGAACAATTCAGTACTGTACTTCTTACTGTATACTACAAAACATCTTTTACGTGCCCTGAGGATTCAAGTCAGAATTTGTGGTTGTGGAGGAAGAAAAAAAGCAAGAAATTCTAAAGTGAAAAATCTGTGTTACCTTGCCTTTACACATGCTTTCAGCTATTACACCATCTCTTTGAACTTATTTCCCTGCCACTAAATCTACAAATCATAACTCTTCTTAAATTGACTCTTCTACTGCTTTTCCATACTTTCTCTGATAAATCATTCTATATTCTAAATTACGAATACAGTTACGGAAAAAGGGAAGCATACATGGCTTGTACTTCTCATATTCCATTAGTTACCTTACATAAATTAAGGTGTTTTAAATAACATGATCCAAAAAGCTCGGGCAGAAAAATTAAGCTACTGAGCAGAGTATGTTGATGATACCAAATTGGGCAGAGGGGTAGATACACCAGAGGGCTGCACTTCCATTCCGAGAGAATTCAACAGGCTGAAGATTATGGGCAGAAAACATCATGAAGTTCAACAAAGGCAACTGCAGTGTCTTGCACTGGAGGAGAAATAATTCCATGCAGCAGTACAGGTTAGCAGAGTTAGCAGCCCCGCAGAGAAGGACCTGGGAGTGCTGGTATGCAGCAGGCAATGGCAGCAGTATACACTTCTGGGTAATGTATCCTGGGCTGCATTAGGAAGAGAGAGTCCAACAGGTCACTCTGCTCTTATGAGGCCACATTAAACTAATATAATGTTCATAGCAATTTTAACATGCTCAGGTCAGACCTGCTATTAGCTCAAACCTTTCGGCTCCACACTGGATGTCAAAAGGACTGCTGTGATTTAATGTGGCAGGCTGCTGTGCACCACACAGCCATTTGCTCATTCTCCACGAGGGGGATAGAGAAGAGAATAGGAAAAAAAAACAAAAAAAAGGAAAAACTTGTGGATTGAGATAAAGACAGTTACAAAAGGAGAAAAACAACAGTGATAAAAATATACAAAAACATGGCAGTAGACACAAGACAAGAAAGACAGCGCAACCAAAATCCAACTAATGACACAACACTTAAAAGTGCATAGTGTCCACTCAGAACTGATAATTCATGAACCTGTGATCTTCTGCTGCTTTTTCTTGCTTTGAGCTGTGTGCAAAAGGGCAATGCACATTAATAAGAGCACAACTGTAGGGAGAATTACCAAATTTTAGCCTTGTCTGCGCCACGGCAGTGAGATCCCATGAAAACGTCACTCATGATTGCTTTAGGAGTATGAGTTCTGTTGAATAATTACTGCTTTGGGCTCTGGATGCATCTTTGACTTCTCCCTCTGGTACAGAAGTGGGAGGATTCAGAGACAGAGGCTACAAGGGAGCTGTAGTGGACAACAGGCAGTAGATGAACAGAACCACAGGGTCCTGCCACATAATATGGCACATGTGGTTTACCTCCTCTCTTTCCTTATGCAATTTGAAGACTCTTACACACTTCAGTTTAGTTGCTAATGACATAAAGAATTAGATTTTAGCACTGATTGAAGTCAGTGACTTAAATATAGAGATACCATGCTTTTTTCCCTGAAAACATTTCTTGAGAACTTAGAAGTACTCCTGTAGGCTATAAATTTATTTAATAAAGCCTTTAGGCTTTATTTTTATTTTTAGGAAAACCAATTTTTCTTCTTTTTGACATTCATCTGAGAACACTCCTTATCACAGTGTTTTAACTCAATTCCATTTCTAGTCCATTCTGGTCTAGAATATAAGGAATGCCTGATGTTATCCTTAGGTAAAACACACAGTAATTTGTGTGTACCAACATAAAGACATTGCATTCTACAGAACCAAATCACAATAGTTAATAAACTTTAGAGAGTTTTTTCCTTATAGTTAAAAGGTACAGATCTCTTGAGACTATAGTCTTTCTCTAGTTTTACAAAGGACAAGGAAGGTACAATTTAGCAATACATGGTGTTTTCTAATTTAATGCATTTTAAGAATATTTACAACTGATTTCTTTTATTCTCTTTCCTGTGATGTACTTATAAATTCAAATAAACAGAAAACTATTTGTATTTCTTATAGTTATCTCAAATGTTTCATTTTTGAAACACAGAAATGAAAGAGCAATTGCAGAAGTTATCTTAAGAACTCTAACTGGTACAGTTAATGTCAGTAAATCAGCGTATTTTAATATTATCAAATTCTTTCATTACCATTCCTTCATAAGGAATGGTGATCATTTTATATAATGCTGTAAGAGGCCTTTCGGCCTTTTCTCTGCATTAATCCCACATTATTAACATTTCTATTTAAGCTGATTCATAGTACATGATGACTACTTACATTTATAAGAAAAAAAATCTAAATCCAGTATTTCCTTCCCCAGATCCTTCATGATGACAAGTCAGTTTAAACTCTTTTATATGTTATATAGAAGATTACAGTACAGCCATTTCCCCTAATTTCAAGATTGTGTGAAGATAAATATGGTGTTGAGAAAGTAATCATTTAAAAAATAAATTTCTGAATTTATGTAAGTTATAAAAAGAAATAAATAAGAATAAAAAATAGATCATATAGTTTACATAATAGATCTGACAAAAATGGTAAGCTATAGTTTACTTAGTAAGCTGTAACAATAGCAGAATACATTGACAATGTTGATGTTCCTAACCAGAAGGACAGACATTTTGCCCAAAAGTCAAATGATAGCTCATATTCATGCTGCTGGGGGTTTGCTTCCCCCACCTCCCAAGTATATTTGTCTAGAAAGCTAGTTGTGGAGGTTCAATGTACAGAGCAATTAGCTAATTAATTAAGTATGAATAATCAGCGGTCCACTATAGTTTTATAATCACAAGCAAAAATTCATTTGTCAGCAAATATCTGATCTACTCCTTAAAAAAAATAAGTTACTAAAATTAATTTGCCTCCCTAACTACATAAGTAACCAAGCCTTAACCCACGTCACTGGCAGATACAATTTCTGAGCCTATTATAACAAGAAGACAGCTCTCAGAGAGATTTCTGATCCTCTTCCAAGAGTGGTATTTAATATTATATTACAATTTAATTGACCTTGAAAGAAAATTTAAGTTAGGACAAATAAATCAATTATATAGGTTATATTTCATAATAACGTTGTTCTATAATAAAATCATATTCAATAATATATTCCTTAAGCAAATACAGGTAATTCAAACTTTGAACAGTCTATCATATTCTAACAGCATAAAAATTTCCTCATCCAGTCAATAAACATTCTCAATTAGAGAAGAAAGCGTTTCAGCTCGGATTTAAAATTTCCATATTCAATTCCTGATGTAGTTGTTTTAGTGAAAACTTCCTTCAATACTGACTGAAAAATAGAATTGTGCTGCAACAGTTCAGTGGCTTGTATATTTGATAACAGTTCCAAAGGACCCATTTTTGAATCAAGTTCCACTTCGCTGGTTATGTTCTCATACCTGAGCACTGGGGTTTGAAATAGATATGAAAAATTGTGCGTTGCCTCAAGTGAGAATGACAATTCTAATATTGCAATGAAATCCATCCCAAACTTGAAAACTGTGAATATAATGCCCCAGTTCCAATTTAATCAGATTGATGTTCACAAGCAACAGGTTGCTCCCCAAGCCCAGTTGCTGCATTCAGACAGTATCTAGTGTAGGCCCAGAGAAGTTACAACTGTGCCATCTCATACTAACCAAAATTTATGGCTGAGTGATCTGGCTAAAGTGATTTCTAAATACAGCCTTAGCACCTATTTTGAGAAACCAAATACCACGATACAAGTGTTTAACACCTAACAGTAAAACCATAAAGCCAAATAAATCAGATCAAAGGGTTAGTACTGGGTCTCCTGTCACCACCCTAGCACCACAACGTGCTTTGGGCATGGTGTTGCCCTGCATTATGTAGCAAGGATAACTACATTAGCTCTCAACCATCTGGACATGAGCCAAACTGTGCCATCTGAACCTGGCATCAATACGTTGCCCTCTCTTATTCAACAACTGATCCCAATTTAATAAGCAGCTAGCAAGCCGCAACAGTGATGGAGGGGGGACAAGTTCCACCAAGACACTACTCAAAACCAGCATGACCTGACCTGAGCATAGCAAGTGGTAGGAGTGGGAGCAGATGCCAATCCTCCTAGCTGGGATGGCAGCACCAGTCTGCAGACTATGCAAACGAGAGGTGGAAACATGGGCAGGAACAGCTGAGGCCACTTGGCTTGTTAGCCTTGAAGAGACTGAGGGAAGCTACTTCATGAGGGGCACAGAGGAACAGGTGCTGATCTCCTCTCCCTGGTGATGGCAAAAAGACTTAAAGG